CAACTTTTTTTTTGGTGGTGGTACCAGGAATCAAACCCAGGACTTTGCGCTTGCCAGGCAAGTACTTATTCCACTGAGCCATCTCCCCAACCCCAAAACACAGAACTTTTTTATTCATTTACACTGTTTTTCTTCTAATGATTTATGTCTCCATTTCTGTTGTATTATTACAATGTTTACAGCTGAAATTTGAAGTATATGAAGTGCAGGTTTCATTTGAATTCGATTTGCAAAAAATTTTATTACAGATAGGTGTGGTGGCGCACACCTATGATCCCAGCACTTGAAAGGCTGAGGCAGGAAGATTGCTGAGGGTTTGAGGCCAGCCTGGGCTATGTAGTGAGTTCAACGCCAGCCTGAACTATATATTCAGACTTTTTTCTCAAAAACTAAAAAATAAATTTACAAAAATTATTAGTTTTATTCTGTTCAGCTACTTTAGAAAATGCAATATGGTTCTAGTTCTAAATGGTTTGTTTTAAAAGCATTTAGCTTCATAGCTCAATAAAAATATTTACTTTTAGAAAATTTGGGGCCAGGGAGATGGCTCAATGGAATAAGCGCTTCCCTGGTAAGTACAAGGGCCTCAGTTCAATCCCCGGGTATGCCGAAAGAAAGAAAGAAAGAAAAGAAAAGAAAAGAAAAGAAAAGAAAAGAAAAGAGAAAAGAAAAGAAAGAAAATAAATTTGTATGGTTAATTTCCAACTATATCCATGCTTGAGTTCAAGTTTTCAGTGTAACATTACAAGCAAGTAGGACAGATACCTATTAGGAATTCAGTAGTGTGTTATTTCTAGTCTATGAAAAAACATCAATCACTAAACCCTAGCTACTTTATGTAACCAAGGATAAATAATTAAATACCACTTACTTATTGTGCACTTACTTTCCTGACAAGCTAATCTATTTTCTCTGCCATTTTTTTTTTTTTAAATTAGGGAACTATATCTGCTGCTCCCATTTTATTACCCTTTCTTTTGCCAAGCTCAAGCAAAGTGGCTTGTACTTTTAATGCCCTTAAATGTACGTGATAATTTCAAAGTAGTCCAGACTGAGGTGAATCTTTGGTATTCTCAACAGTTTACTGAACAAGACGGGACCTCAATTCCTCCAAAAGCTACCCACCTCATTTTAGAATATCTGCTAGAAAATTCCTTGTTCTGGG